GCCGTTCAGACCAGTTCGCACCATGCCGAAAAATTCAGCTCCAGCTGNCGAGCGCTTATGTTCAAGAAAGTTAGTAACATAGAAAGCTACTTATACAAGGCCTCTTTAGCCTGATCATACTGACGGAGACATGACGTTTCCAAATGAGGTTACTATTCACTAGTTTATGTGTTGGCCATGAAATCATATTCGCAAAGTGTGGTTCCGTTGACAGGGTGATAAAAATCTCTACGAATAGTCCCAACTTGGAATAGAAGTGTCCTTCACTACCATACACATACCAATAAAAACATGAGAATAGCAAACAGGCAACAACGTAATAACTTATTTTTTGCCTCCTGCTTTAGTTCAGCGGCACACTAGCCCAATAAACAACATCCTTTAACATTGGGGGAAAACCAATTAGGAACTGTTTTCGTATGTAATGTTACTGTAAAACATGAGTACAACTTTTAGGCCGTAGAATACGACAAAAAATTTTCATTTCCAGCTGGAGCGGTTAGAAGTTCATACCAACTGACTTTGTGACAGCATGAAACAAACTTTGCATAGCTTTGAGTCCCATATCATGACCGCGACACCTGAGCTGACTCCAGGGTTATTTCAATATAATCACTACATGATCAAACATCCGTTCAACTTCGACACCGGGTGTTGACTATTCTCAGCTAAACAGCAATAAACCTCTTCATGCACCTCAGTACGATTTCGCAGTTGTATTGGGAAGAGCAATAGAAAGAGGAGTTCTTTCATATCAACTGAATGGATGGGTTCTTGGACGAAATGACTGAATTCAAACGATTTTAGTAGTCAGTTTAAAATTTTATTTAACAATTTCTCGGTATATCTTCTAGAGTGTATAACATTGATGGTCGGTTGTTGGATGGACTGGTGTTTCATCTGGTCCCAGTCAACTACATTTGGATTCAATCTCAGGAAGCGGTTTCCATTTTGCGATGCATCAACGTAATCGCTTCATTGTTGGTGTCAGTGTGTTCTCCGAACTTGAAGCGATGTTCGCTGACGGTTCTTAGCCAGGCTAAGCAACATTATCAGTACAACTTCGAGGATTCGCCGATTAATCCACGGTATATAAAACCGGTGCATATTAGTATGGAAGAATATCTCCACGTTTCCGAAGAACTGATTGTGGTTTCTATTAAATTTCAACATCCGATGTTGAAATCGGTGAACCTCCAATTTTCATCTTCACACTTTAGTCACTTAGAGGAATGAATAATTCCACAGCAGATGGAATAACTTATTTAATTAGGTTCACCATTAATGATATTCTAATAATCGTATGGTAGACAGCAGCGTCCGTTGGTTTACGTGAACATTCACGCCTAAGAAGGACGTTGAATATGTCAATGGTAGACGGAAACGTTTCGTGAGATATTTCTGCTGCTTTTTCTCTGAAGTCGTTTATTGAAATTAAGGAATGTCAACTCTCTCATGGGCGATATATTTCCATTTAAAAGAGGCCTCCTGGCCAATGTCTGTCGTATCTTTAATCAAGTTAAACTACACGGAATTGAGCTTTCCACTATGGTCCAAAAGACTGAATAGTCAAGTGTAATCAGCAGTACAAGACCAGTAGTTTCGTTACATTTTAACGTTTCACATAATACCTATCCGATAGAATACACGTATGTCGTTAGTTTATCTGGCTCGACAGTCTAACCAAACTCTCTCTTACACGATAGAAGTCTGAGCGGTCTTATTTACCTAATCTGTTTCCAGTATTATAAATGGATCGATCATTTAGCTGATCGGATAGGGATAATCAATGAATTAGGAGAAAACCCGAAATCTCGGTCGTCAGACATTTTCACCTGCGGACAGCTTCATTGAAATATACCTGAGCTTTCTTAACTCCGATTGGGTTATCTAAAATTCATTATCGTCGATGGAAATACACTTGGCCAAGTCAGTTGGCGATTAAGCACAGTGTGGATAACTACCATTTCAGTATATACTTATAATCCACCTGTACTAGTAATAGTAATTCATGCGAACGAATAAATTGGCAACAAACACGTCGTTGCAAATCTATTAACTAATCTATTTGGCTTAAAAACTAAATACCTTAATTGCACTGTCCGGTATGTGGCAGTCTCAGGAATTCCATCTACATGTGTTACATCGATAATTGTAACTAGTAAGTTAATCCCAAAATACCACTCATTTTACAGATCCCGCAGACAGTGTTTTAAGGTCTGTGTCTCCAGTCATGCAGTTCTTGTGAGTGAATGAATCCATGACAAAATAAATCTAATGTAAATGTCGATCGGCTACCAAACTCTTCCCACAGATTTTCTCTAGTGGAAAATAACCGTGTACAATGAAAGATACGATTTCAGTTAACAGCATATTTATAGGTACATGAACGGCAATTTCTGAGTAACAGTTTATACATAGGAAAATGAATTTAGGCTTCCATAGAATGGTCAGTGAAACATGTTATTTAAATAGCATTTCTCCTTTAACGGCAGGGTGCCATCTGTTTAGCTTCTTGATGAGAAGAAAACCATTTCTTCGCCGTTGGGCATGGCACAAAATGCGTACGTATGTATATCAGAGTTCTAGCATGGTATGTTTTATCCCACATTGTGTGCATTCTCCAAGGGTATATCGATCGTGTGGCATGCCTGTTTCGCTAGCAAGATCTTCAATGAACGGGATCCCAATGCTGTTTTCCTAAAGCTAAGTTTTATTCATGTGGTTCAATTCATTAGATCGATCTGAGCATGCAAAGTCCGTCCGGGAGTACCTACTTTCAATTCAATGTATACCGAATCTCGACTCATTCCCCAAGTCTAGATCGTATCATGAACAGATGATTTACTGGTTATTCTGCATCACAAACCTCAGAAGTAGGCGGCATCAGTAAAATTATCCAAAATCTATATTGGTTGATCGTGGCCTTAGGTAGCGATTAACGAGTGATCAATCAAATCATCTAATCAAATGAATGTGACCGTGATCAATAAAGTTTGAATTTTCGGGGACCGGTGTTGAAGACGACACTTGGGAACAGTTTCCTAAAAGGCCCAAACACTTTGATAACTACTGCATCTCAGGGTTACCGCATTTGGTTCTTGATAAAAATGAATGCAGTTGGTCTCGATATTTCCAACTTGGGTAATGCTTTAGAAACTGTAACGTCTTCTACAGGGGAGGTGTAACATTTAACTGCTGTATGCAATTCACGCCAAAGAAACAAATTTCCTTATCCCGTGTCTTTGGTATCTGTGATGGTGGTGTGCGTGTCTATGGTTTCACCTAGACTACACACGAATATTGTCTAACTCCATGAAGTCGTGCGTCAACCGTCGACTGTGTATTTAAAACAGGATTTCAATGCACAATCCGAAGGTTTGTGACTCAAAGATCCACCTATCATGTATAATTTAGACAACTTTTTCACTACAATTGCGTGTGCGTATTAACCACCTTTTACCTCTACATTGTTGATAGGTTGACTATACACTTTCATTCACCTACGAATCTCCTCCTGCTCATCCATCTGTGTGTGATTATTTTGTCAACATTGTTTTTCATAAAAAATATCTGCCAAAAATTGTATACGTTATACATTTGAATTAATTCCCTATCACTGAGTAGAGACTAATTCATGATTAAGTGAAAAGTCAGTCATCTCAGTAGGCTTCCATGAAACGCATCTACTCACTCAGTGATAAGAGAAATTTATAACAACCTCGGCAACTTGCTATCAAGTTTCAGTGTGAGTGGTATTCATCGGACGTTTTGGGTCAGGATGTTTGTATTTCACTCTCTCAGATAATCAGTTTACCCCTCCACGCAGAACCTGTCGACTGTCAAGAATCGGCCAATATTCAATTGTCTGGTTCACGGGGCCATCCTGCCGTACACGAGGGACAAAGTACACTACGAAATTTGTTCACTTTTGAAAAGGGTACTTTTTGTTCATCCGTCATTACGGTCTTCTCATTTCTCCATGTTCACCTGCCGAGTTGTCTATTCGGTACACAAACAAACTTGCTCCAAAACCAATTATTCTGATTTTACTAAAAAGTGAACGGTAATCAGTATTTTGCAACCAAATAAAGATGGATCAGTAGTTCTATCGCAAAAGCTGGACAAAATGTGTCGGTAATCTGCTCCCTTCATGCTTATGGGAGTCAGGCATCACACTATTGATGATGGTTATTTAATCAAATTATCGGCATCGTTTTTGTCATTATCATTTACCCGAACGTGGCGACAGGACAAAAAACGTTGTGAAACATAAAATAAATGATAGGCCACGAAAATTTGAGTGAGAGATGGGAGAAACAGCGTGGATATAAAGTCGGTCGTGTTTGTTATTAATCCAATTTGGCGTCATGTATGGGAATTAACGGTTACGTGTTCTCTTTCTATCGGTCTTAACAGGATCAAACTGAATTCGCACCAACGAATTTCAACTTTAACTAGTGAGTTTTCAAAGGCACAACACTGTGGTTCGGCTAGCCTAGTTGTACGCCATAGGGAAGGGGGAATAACTGATAATGCAGTTTTATTTATTTGCCGGGATACCTGGATAACAATTCAAAGAGTTTGCAGACACTAAATAATACGATCATTGTGTGACTGAAGGAATTCGCGGAAACCGAATTCACTCACTTTATCTCGCACACATACACACCAATAGCCAGAAGGTGGTGCTAGCTATAACGTGTCTTCATAGAATGCATACCGATAAGGCGCATAAATAGGTAACCAGCCCACCAACTAACCATACAAGCAGTCTTCTGGGTGGGGAGGTCGACAAGCAGTCGGCTTTGGTCATCTGCCCACGCAACCAGTTAGATAGAGGGTTCTTCGTTCACTAAATATTTCCTCACATCTGCACAAGGTGAAATACTTGGAGATGCTCGTGTGCGTATGAGTTTAGATTGTTTTCAGAAACCGGAGGTGATCGCACATGTTCAAGTGCCTGTGAAGACAGACACGCACACATCGAATGAACCAATTCAGTATAAGTGCCAACAATCAATCTGCCAACACTCCAAAATCACCATCGCCAAAATCAGCATCGGATTTCGGTTCGCCTGAAGCGGTGCAAAAAATGAAGACCCGAGTGCAGTTCACTGTGTCTACGAGAGAGTGGTAGTGGTTTGGGGAATGTGATGGCCAAAGTAATAATGGAAACCAGAGGATTGGGAACATAAGCGGAGGGGTGTTAGTGATGGTTAGGAAACAACTTTGGAGTGAAACTAATCCATCAGAATAACCAAAGTGCATCCGAGGGACATGGTCGCACACAAACAAGGGCACGCTACCACTTGATAGATTTTCAGTTGAATGAAGGAAGGTGTGAATTCATGTTAAGAGGCTTTGCGGGGTTTTGAAGGAGTTGGTTATTCCAGATCAAACGAATAAACAGATACCTGAATGGCTTTCCATCATCCACTGACCGTCATGGTTGGTGATTACGTGTATTGGTTTGTTTGCTCGTGCATCCATGCGTGCGTGTGTGTGCGCGTGTATACTAGCATAATCGAACGCCGATCAAGGTTTTAGTAGATTTTGGTGCTATGAAATGGTTCACTGCTTAATAATTGGAACACTGCCGGCTTTAGCCCATAAACCCGTTCCTTAGCAATCGCATGGCACAAAATAGCATTTTCTGAAAAGTATTTCAGAAAGGTGAATAAAGCTAATACGATTTTCTGGCTGAAATTAGAAATTCTTTTTCTTTGACTGAAATTGAAATACGTTTAGTCAGAATTTGAACTATTTCACAACTAATTTGAAAATTATTAGAAAACTCGACATTTTCGTCACAATTTTATTTTAAACAAAGCCCTTATTTCATCCCGATAAGGCTTATAATTATTGACCTCTATCGGTAAGGTAAACAAGCCTGAGTGAGTGAACTTGTTCATCCATAGGAGTCCATCTAATTGAACGATAGGTTTGAGAGCACTTATTTTGATTGGTCAAGTAGTTAGGATGGACGGACTTCGCATTTCGTCACCAGCCGAGGTGACATCGTCATTTCACATGCTCTGCGGATGTCACCTCAGCTGGTGATAAGAAAATGTTTTCATGCAAATTGCCAAGCTCGGCAAGCATACAAAATGGAAAGCTTACATAGTCCTAAACGAATGCGAACCTTCAGTCTGAATTATTATGGTTTTGGTAAATTGGATAAATCACTTCAAAGTAAACTGACTGTTAGAAATGCTAGAAACGGTTTGTTGATTTACATCTAACAAGACCCTATGAGTGGTAATTTGACAGAGGGTAGCACATAAAGAAAAGGAAACCGGAATGTTTATCTGCGTGCATGTGCAGGGTAGGAGTCTGTGGGATAAGAACCCAATATTCCATTGTTACTTCGGTCACTGCATCAGGTTTTGTGGGCTTCTCCTATTAACTTTTACAATTGCACATTGGTAAAACACACTAGGTTCGTCTCATTCGGTGCTTATTTAATCATCTGTCCGACGTGGTACTACAAACGAACGTGAAGTGATGGAGTGGGAAAAATGAGGTGTGTAATGAGAATTCAAACCGTTCACCCGTATCGAATAGGGCACGTGACCAGTGTGCCTTGCTATCGAGTCCGGCAGTGACGAAAGTCCCCATGTTTTATCGATCTGTATGGGTCTGTTGACCCTATGAATCGTTTTGATATAATTATAGTCAACCCGCTCCAGTTTAGTGACTTGTGTTCTAGTCCGCACGTGATACAAACTTTTGGCAAGTAATCCATTGAGAAAAGAGCTGGTGAACAAACTAGCTCCGGAACGGTTGAAGGAGCTGAAACAAAATTGAGATGTTATTATTTTGAGATTGGATACAGATATCCGAATAGTCACTTTAATCATATCCACAAGATGAACCGCAAACGTAGTGATATCAGGAAATTCCAGAAAAGCTACGGGGAAAGATAAAGCAGAACAAATAGGAAAGTCCCTATCGAAAGTGCTCAATTGCCTAAAGTAGAGAAATGCAAGAAACACTTCCGACCGATCCCATCCATTTACGTGCCATGGTCAAGTGGCGGGATGCGATTCTGGAAGCGGTGAGAGCGCAACTCGAAATGATTCATAAGATATTATGGTTAGAATCAAAGATTGAAACGTTAGCGGATTGTGCATGACAGCACTCGATATCACTTCTATTGTTTGAACTATTGAATACATATGTGACCACATATGTAATAAATGATTGTCAAATCCGAATACCAGTTGATGATCTTAAAAACCTACTACACTTTTGCATAACCAACATACACTTCAATTTCGGCAACAAAATATATCGTAAAATCAATGGTGTAGAAATGTCATCTCCCCTGGTTCACGTTTTGCGGATGTCTTCAGCTCTAAGCTGGAGAATATCAACTTCAAGCGAACAACCGATCGTTTGACACTATACAAGCGATTTGTTGATGACAATGGGTACTTTATCGATGACGGTGTTAATCTGTCCACACTCGTGAAAATAATTAACTGAGAACATCTAAACATAAAGAAAATATTAGAGAGCGAAATGAATGGGCAGATCGCATTTCTGAATGTTCTTCTAAGCTGTCCATCAGATGGAATTATTCAACGCACTATCCACAGTATATTCATTTCAAAAGCTGCGAGCCAGCGATTCACCTCACTGCCAGGTCGCGAGGAATATAAACACTCCATAAGATTAATATAAAACTGAGATTTATCCCAGGGGTTTCCTTCATAATGATACCCAAAGCGATTCGCGGAAAACATTTTGAAGCGCCACCGTTTGCCAAAGAAGACCATCACTGTTGGGAGTAAATCGGTCAACATATCATTACTTTTCAATGACGATGCAATTGCTGATAGCAACAAGTAAACTGAGTGCAGCCGCGGTTGGAGCATTTCTTTCAGCAGAACTTCGCATTGTACTTATTTCCAAATCGGTTTTGGGGTTTCAACTCAAAGACAAGTTGTCTGTTTTTGCTGTCTCTCTCTATTTGGTATCTATTTGCTTTGTTCTGTTGGACAGAGTATATTTGCTGCACGTGCAGACATTTATCTGGACTAGTCCATGAGCACCACCCGGCTCGGGGTGATTAGTTGGATCAACGGTTCACACCAAGTTGAGTTCACCACCACCACCACCGGTGATGACTCGAACCAATGCTTATTTGTGTGAGCAATATCCAGTCATGGAACTGGAATATTGATTACCTTTCCAACTTGCCATGATTTCTCCCCTACTGACACAAACTGTGATGTATTAGCCTGCCGATGAATCAAGGCAAATGAACCCGGTAGCTACTGTGTTAATCTTACAAAATGTATTGATGGTGTATTCCGACTGCTAGGGTTTTTTCCTAAACCAGGTGCTTATAGGTATAGTTAAATAATTTGGTTNACAAGTGCTAGTTTACTTGTAGACAAAACTCTAACATGGTAGCCGGAAAATATCCGATTGAAAAACTCTCCTATCCACGACAATTATCTGTTAACCTCTGACAGTAGTCTCATTCTGCGTATACTCATCGCCCCATTGTACGGTGTATATCTGGGTGACTTCCTGATAACCACCCCTCTAGAACAACTAAGTTGCATGAACTATGAAGTGCAGGGTTTCATACCTAATTGAAACTAATTTGAGTGTAGCTGAGTTATTCCACACATTGTAGAGGGTTTGCAGTCAACTATTTGAGCATGTTCTACGTCGTACGCTAAGCACAGCGAAGGATTACAAATGTGGCATAATTCGGTCTATGGTGATCAGAGAACGTAGCACCCGTTCGATAGAGTCATTGGAGAAAAAATCAAAATTAATCTAACGAATGTTGCATCCGTAACGTTTTAACGATCGAAAGGCATATTGGACCAACCCACATTGAACAGATTGTATGCTTCACCGATAAAACTGCGATTTAAGGAACGAATATACACTAATGGTAAAATGAGCGTCCAGCAAAATTTTGCACAAAATCACTGCTGCAACGTGTCCTCTCGATTGACTAAGAGCCGTTTGTAATCAAACTGTCAATGTTTGAGAGGAATTGTAGTGCTGGCGAAGGCGCCTGTGTTCGGAGCTGAATTCGCATCGTTTGATAGGTGAAGCGGTATACATTCGTATTTACTACAGGGGAATTGTGATTAGTTTTTCCCACTTCACAGGTGATCCGCGAGTGAGGATTCATTGTCGAACTAAGAATCTACCCATTCAAATGCGTCTCACTGCTGTCGGGCACATCAGCGATGGTTGATCAGGGAATGGGTGGTTTTATTTTCAGTGCGAACTTACTTCATCGCGTGGCCACCTGTGTTGACTGCCCCCTACTGATCGGTTGAAAGCGATTTGTCTGTGCATCATAGCCATAACTGAGGTCAACGTGCTTCACGTGCGAGGCACAACTTAAGGGGCACGAAAGCGATTGGCGTAAATTGGTTCGGACCGGACACCACTGGAGAAGGGTCATACGATACCCACACACACAGACTGGTCACAAACACGGATCCCCTCTCCCTCTACTTTCTACTCGAAACAACAGAACTGAGGCTAACGAAGGGCAGAGTCATGCATTCTGTAAATATACTGCCCAACAGAAAATGATCGTTTAATCTCCCACTTTCACGGAAGCTGTTGATTCTTTTTTCGCTTAGAATGTTGAGACAAGTGTTGTTTTCTTCACAATCAAATCGAAATACAGAAATCAGTTGGATTGCCTAATGATTGATGGATTATAACATACACCATGCAACTTCAGATATATCTGCCCATTCATAACTTGTTATCCAGTAGTAGTTATGTTATTTTTTAAACCACATTATGCAGTAAGAATTTTGAAAATGATTGGTAAATACAATACTAGTCACACTCCCGTTTATCGAAAACAACAATTCGGTTTCCATGGTTTTCGAACACCATTCGATAAGAAAACCTCCGAAAGACGTTGGAAGAACTGTACAAGTTTTTCTATCAACCCATAACAAGCATTCCGTGTACCAAGCAGACAGAAGACCGGGCGGTCGGTACGGTATCGCAAACCCTGTGTGACTAGTCTTATCCTGTTGGGGAACGTCTTCCAAAGTGGGTTTGATTAATAGCTACGTTCTTTCATCCGTTCATTCTACTCAATCCAAGTGGAACTCGTGATATTGACCTTCAAATTGATTTTCGTTTGACAACTGTTTCTGGATATTAAAGAATTGCTACTCTTCTAATTGAACTTTCGTAGCTGAGGCGACAACGTAGAACAGTTTACCTAAGCAAATCCTATAGTGATGATCATTCTTGAAATTGAGTGATTTTCCAAGGGACCTTGATGCGAGAAATATGACCATTTGCTTAGGGTTGTCATTTGTTTTACTTCGGAGTCTTAATATTAACTAGTGCTTGTAATTTCCATCATTGTTTGCCGGTTACCGACAATGAAACTTAAACGCGTCCGTCATTGGTTACACAGCCCTTAAAAGTGCACCTCAAGTAGAGTATAACACCGTGAACAACTGACACTCTTACCTGAGGAGGATGGACGCATAAATGTTGCACTTCCATCGGATGAGTGTAGTTTATCAAAGTCACTGGTTGTTGAATTGCTGTATGCAAATCATCCGTAGCCATTTTCCCGTGTTCCATGTGCATCGGATTCTGCATACTAACCGGGTACATATTTGGGGCATAGTCCGAAGCACACAAAATTATCGTGGCCTCCGAAGATGTCGGCTTTGTTTGCCCTGTATCATACTGACCGCCTAACAAACGTGATACCGTCCCATGCTCCGAGCACATCAACCGTAATGCCTTCATATCGGACACGGTTGAAACGGCAGGGTTGCATGGTTGCAAGTTGACAACTTGCATAAGTGGTGGTCCATAGCTGAGAATCGGATCGAGGACCGGAGTCACAGTGCCGTCTTCGGAACTGGGGGGTTGTTTCATTTCAGCCACCGTCGCCATTGTTTGCACGTGTTTCGGACTGACAGCTGATTGATTGGTGGACGAACCACACAAACTACCACTTCGGGATCCATCCGGAGATATGCCTTAAATAAATTTAGAATGAAGATGGAAATGTGTTCTGGATAAGAATTGTATGTGATCATAATGTTCCGGAGTGGAAAAAAGCAAAGGTGCATCATTTTTATTTATTTTCATACCTCATCTCATGGGAGAATATAGCCCTGAAAGTGCACACAGTCTACATCCGATTGCAGCTGAATCTTACTTTCAATACACCTCCGTGAACGTTCAGTTTGGGTCTATTTGCTCTGCATTTGGCCTAACGTACCGCAGACAGAAGCTTTGTAAAGTTTATCTCAAATTTAGGTAATATCAGAGTGAATCGATGAATTAAGATACGATGTAGTTACTTGATTAACATTGGTTCAAAAGACTGTATTCCCGGTCTGCAACCGTGTATGCTGTTTTGCTATTATTACATTGTTTTTGGAACTATGTTCCTTATAGGAAGTTCCACTGAAGTCTTAGAAAAATCGGAAATGAGATAGAATCTCTGTTCTTCCAGTCCCTCTCCCGGCGTATGAATTTTGCGTTGATTGGTGTATGGCGGAGATGACTATCAAGCGGCAATTGGCCATACCATCAAAGCGGTAAGAACAGTAGTAGCACACGTATTGTTCGTGCGTCAAATTGATCCTAATTAGTCAGTGTGTAAAACACAAATCACGAGACCGACAAAAAAGCTTTCACATCTGTGAGTACTAACACATGTAGAGCAGATTGAACCCCCACTAGGGACACTGATGTCCTCGTTATGTCTACTAGAAGTGTGTATCAGGAATGAGATACCTTCCGGATGATAGAAAAGGAAGTCAATTAATCTTATGAAAATAAATTATGAGTATTGATTGTAAAAAGCAGTTAAACGGTTGATTTTAGGACAGAAGCCGTCATTTTCTTTTTTGGCACTTCGATTTTAAGTTATCCGGATTAGAGAAGTAGTTATCCCAGCACCGTGAGATCAATTTTAATTAAAGAGAACTGATGGCGTTCTTCAAAATCATTCACAACATTGTCAGACAACTTGGAAAATAACAACTGAACCCAACACGGTAGTAAACTCTTCAAGAAAGGAAGCACATTAAGACTGGGGTTAATCACAAAATTTGTTTTGTGGGCCAATCTCAGATCAAGTGTGGCATNGATAAGCGTACCTCTCCGCATTGACCAAATTGTTGCACGGGAGCGAGTAGGTCAAATTAATCGGATGAAGAACTAGTGATTAGATAAAAGAAGACCAGATAGACCAAGTAATAGGGCGAATGCACTCTCATTTTCGGGTAATTTCCGCATAGATTTTTCATTTATAACTCCGTGGTATACATAGTAACCTCTGAGCCTGAGACCCTTAACCGATGAAGGAATTAGTTGATACTAGATTTATGAATAATTCTTTAGTCTGCATTCAGTTGACTTAGATTGACTTTGTTTTGGTGATAAATCATTGTCAAAACAATTTCACTGACCCCGATAATGTGTACCCATCAGGGAAGGCTGAATTAATAATACTTTATTGTACTTAGGCCATGAATTTTCTTGTTCTAATGAAGTTTAAAGATATTTGGTTTTTAGTTTAGGTCAGTTTAGGGTTTAATTGTGGGAAAATAAGGAGGGCCGGTTATCCTACCACTCAAGCACAGGCACCAAATGCTTCTACAACCTCCGATATGATGCCATACCAAAGGCTATCATTTTCAATGGGATCACCTGCTGAACTACAAAGCCACTTTAAGCCCACCAATGTAAACGACTAGTCCAGTTTTTAAAGCTACATTTATTCGCCAAGTTTTCAAACTCCAATGAGGCCACTGGTACCTTTTAGAATCGAGCGCTTTAGCACAAAATGGTGTAAGGTAACTCCAGTAAAAAAGTTAACATCATTATGGAAAACATGAACTGCAAAGGTTTGAATGAAACAGAATATTGTTAGTCAAGACGGTCACGTAATAGGTGACACGTGAACATCACAAGGAAGATAATTTTTCGATGCCAACACCGTTCATCAGCTCAGAAACTCTGTGGGACTGGGCCCAAAGATGATAAACTCTTTGTTATGATTCGTCGGCATCCCAGGAGTGAAAGTAATACAATAACTTCAAAAGGCTGTCTTTTTTATTTTTTTTACAAGATGAATGCAGACCACATAATTGTGCAATCAGACTGAACTCTACCGGCAGACCTACGATCGAATCACATCAACGGTGCATTTTCGAGCCGACATGTCAAATTACTACTCAATGTTACCGATGAAATAGAAATCAAGACTTATTCTTAGCATATCTATATCTTTTCAAGTCAAGTTGTCCTAGTATCATATTAAGATGTCCTCGGATCATTTCAAGATTTATAAAAATAAACCCGGGTGGGGAAGGGGGGTTACAGGGTTGTAATCACTTGTCTAAGCAGATTACGTAACCCGGTCATTCAGTCAACGTTTGATTTTCTGAACAAAGGTTAATTAAGTCATATTGTCAGGCCATGACATACTCAATACGTGAACGATCCGTCTTTGTTTGCACAGTTCGGAGTGGTGGATACGAATCGCTACCGCCTCGACTATTACGTAATCTGCTTAGACAAGTGATTACAACCCTGTAATCCCCCTCCCCCCGTTGATTTTGTAAATCATGACTTTGGTTGCCACCTTGTGATCATTTCAAGATGTCCGGGAATCATTTCAAGTTGTCTGACCATTATTTCAAGATGTCTGGCGATTATTTCAAGTTGTCCCAGTATCACTTCAAGATGTACTCGGATCATTTCAAGATGTCGCATTGATCTCACCGGTGCTGACAAGCCTCCCAGTGATGTCTGGATGACCATCATGCAGTACCGATTTCTCTACCTTTTGCTGAAGTGCGGAGGACGATTGTGGGACGGGCTTCGGTCACACACGCCTCAATTCCTATGTCCTACTTATAGGTTGTTTATCTTGCTGGTACGCGTACGCCTTTGTGTGTTTGTCTCCCTCCGCTGATACCAGTGAATCATGTGCGATCAACGCTTGAGACATTCCTTACCTTCATCGCTGCACTGAGACACCAATAGATCATGCTCGATCGATATACACAGGCATTTACATCTATAGTTCTATTAGTCAATAGAATAATGCAAGGCCTAGGCTGAAATTAAATGAATGTCTGTGTGCACAATGTTCAGTAGATAACAAGCTGTCGAGTCACGATAATCAGATAGGGAAAGCCGATTAAAAATTTAAGCTGGAAGATGTTAGTCCAGAATGAATAAAACAGGTGTGAAAGTGTGTGAAAACAAAGAGAATAAATAAGGAGTCGGGATTCTCACTGAGGTGAGGTAATATTTGATAACTGGATTCTGTAAACCATTCATCATTACCAAGCACTTCTAGCTATTTACGGGATGTAGCCATAAGTTAGAGCTTGTTTAATCTTTTCTCTGGCGGTCTGCATACTTATCCAAGATATCGACGTAGGTCCGAAAATCTTCTCTCCTTTTGACCTGCTTCATAAAGCGTTGCGCTAAAAAATGTCTTCCTCCTTTTCAGATCCGTGAGCCTAGGTAATATCACATCGGGTGTATAGGCTCTTTCATCCGTTGTTTACCGAGGTGTGATATTCATCAACTGATACTGTGCCTCCACCGTTTCCCCTGGGTTCACTGCTAGAACCCTGGAATACTGCGTTGTGGTTCAACCATGATAACCGAAAGGTGTTCTGATCTTACTCACTAACTTATCGAACATTTTCACAATTTCTGATTGGTGGTGGCTTCGGTAATCACTATTCTAAGAACGACCAAGTTGGTGTTCCCGTTGTGAAACTGAATCGAGAAATGCGACAATGGCAATAAGATTGTTCGAAGACAATTTGCACTTACTTGTGAATGTCATACTTTAAGCTAAATTCACCCGGTTTACTTTGTGTGATGGAGGTGTTTAAGTAATACTATAAGATTTAAGCGATAAGGATTATCGAATTCAGATCCCATACTCAGAAACCTACCTTTTGGAAATATTCCAATTTTTAAACTAGTATTTTCTTAGAAAACTCCGTAACTGTCATGAAAATTGGCATCTTTCGACAGCCCTCATTACGTTATTTCAAGTGCAGCCGATTTGATATAAATATTTCGTTCCTTTCCGAAAATATGGTCAAAATGGTCATTTTGATTGTTCAGTGTTTGAAGGTGCTTCTGTGGCGGTGTCAAAGAGATGGATTATGACCTGTAAGTGTCGAACAAACCGGATGTGAATCTGGTCAACACTGATGTGCACATCGATCGAGCATGATCTATTGGTGTCTCAATTCAGCCGCTTGAGGTGTTAATTATAAAATTCTATTGCAGCATCATGCGATGGAGGTAAGGAATGGTTCAAGCGTTGATCGCGCATGATTCACTGGTATCAGCGGAGGGAGACAAACACACAAAGGCGTACGCGCACCAGCAAGATAAACAACCTATAAGTAGGACATAGGAATTGAGGCGTGTGTGACCAAAGCCCGTCCCACGATCGTCCTCCGCACTTCAGCAAAAGGTAGAGAAATCGGTACTGCATGATGGTCATCCAGACATCACTGGGAGGCTTGTCAGCACCGGTGAGATCAATGCGACATCTTGAAATGATCCGAGTACATCTTGAAGTGATATTGGGACAACTTGACTTGCAAAGTTATATTTAAAATTGGTATGTTTGGAAACCTCCTTATTGGTCCCCATTCCATATAGTACGCGATGCCGTTGAAACGTCTCTCGGGGGAAAAACAATACATCGATAACAGTTTCAAGGAATATGCAGCAATCATTGCTGAGCAGAGCACCGTTTAGTGAACCTCTTTGATCAGATTCTGTAATA